AATTTCTTTTCTTTTTCCCATACACCCCCCGAGGAATTCAAACGTTGAACACTGACGGTGCGCGCGCGCGTGCATGCTCACGGCAGAAGGCTTCGGCCGGCTGTTAAACGCGAGAAGGAAAAGCAACAACAACGAGGAAAGGAATTCCCGAGCAGAACGAACCAGCGATACATTTTATCGGATCACGCTTCGCCGAGCGGAAGATTCGTGTATCTTCGTTCCTCGCTGCGCGGCGCGCGGCCTTCTTATCGCGGGGAAGATTTTTACGTTTCGCCGGCGCGCTTTCACGATTTTCAATAAACCGCGGGGGTAGGACGCTGTAAAAGTGTATTGGAATTCCCGTCGACTTGTGGAAACGGCTCCCGGGAATTTCAGCTAATTACAGTGAACCACGGATAATTGCAAGATCATGAGACTCTTCATAATTGCAACGTCGTCATCTCTACCAGGTTCCTTTTGACTGGGGGTCAAAAACAGCTATGATATCGGTTCTGGTTGTTGAAGCAGTTATAGAGGATCAAAATAGAGTTATAACTGTTATTAGGTGTATTGGTTTCGGTTCCGGTTCTCCAGATAATATTATAATATGATATTGACGATTGTAATATGACAATGATAATTATAATATGATATTAATGATTGTAGTATAGTATCGATGATTATAATGTAATAATAGTATATTTTATCGTTTCTGAACAGGGATAAAAAAGATTCTGAAAATAACTGTTTGAATCTGTTACATGTCAGCTCCGACTGAAACAGTTATACAACCGATATATTTGGTACTGGAAAAAGTTCGTGCGGTCTACTTGTTAGCATTGAATTAGTATTTCACTATTAGTTTAATGAATTAAATTGGCACTAGCAACAAGTAATGTTTATATCGTGAGAATCACACGAAATGAAATTGTTTTACAAAAACATTCTTTGTGTTCAAATTTTGATTTAACACATTGCGCGCCGGTTCCGCAATAATGCGGGATTTTTAGTTCATCGTTTAATTGCTAGTCCTACATTAATGTAACATTTTAGATACATATATTCCTTATTCTTTTTCGTAAGTTATAAATTTCGGTTTGATTAATGTTTAAAAATGTATCAATATAGTCCAATGTGTTAAGAACTCCCAGGAACTTTTTCCGGTCCGTAATAATATCAGAAATCATCATCATCATCATCATTATTATTGTTGATGTTATTATCATCACCATTATTGTTGTTTTTGTTATTATCATTATTGTTATTATTATTGTTATTACTATTATTTATGGCATGCTTCCTTATTGCTTAGTTTCAAAGAATGCCGCCAAAAAATCTCATCGGGAAACGTTGAATACGTCTAGCGAAAAACTTTCGAGCGCAAAGGGTTAATTACGGCCGTGATGCCGCGCGGATCTCGAGGACGGTCGTCGAACAGTATGTATCGGGGACCGCGCGGAACCGGATCCTCCGTACCGGTGAAAACACCGACGCGCCGGTTGAATGCAAATCTCCGGAAGAGACGCGGTTGTCGAGCAAACTACCGTATCAGCGTAACGTGCTCAACGACGCGTCGTTACGTGTCATGATATATCTTGATGCGATCACCTGCCAGCAACAAGGAAAAAAAAAGAAAGGGGAAAAGGGAACGGACAATCTCGCCACCTTTCGCGTGGTCTTCGTGTTGCAAAGGCAACCCTGGCGATTGCCGCACACTTCGACGAAACATTGCGCTAACATTCATTAAGTCCATTTAACACTTTGACTGGCAAGCAAACACTCATCAAAACTCGTATCCAGTCGAAACAGTTTTCTTAATAAAGTCGAAAATAAAATTCAAGATTCTTTATAACGACTGCTATATCATCTTTCTCGTACCTTGTAGGAATTTTATCTCACCCCGGGACTTGGGACGAATCGGATGTTCCCCACTTCTCAGTTTTTTGCTTATAAAACGAAAGATTTTAAGTTTTCTAATAATTTTTTTTACTGATATTGAAGCTGAATGTCTATTAACCTTCTGCACTCGGAAGTTTTTCACTAGAAGTATTTGAACATTTTCTGATGAGATAAAGACGATATTTTGTGACTAACTCGAAGAGAAATCACGTACATTGGGGAATAAAGCTATTTTATTTCAATATTTCTCAAATTGATGCATTATACGAGGTATAATATTGAATATCAAATTTTATAGTTTTACTGTATGAAATCAAGTAGTTAGTAAGTCACCTATTAAAGGGTTAATAAGAAGTTTATGAAAAAAATAGTAATTCTAAATTTGAACCATTAGCTTTTCACTGTTGAATCTGAATTGGACCGATTCGCCTCGGTCTACCCTACAGCGAAAAAAATTCGGTTCGCTTGTTACGTCACCAAGAAAACGAATATTTAAGTTTATGTAAACAATGGTGTTATCTAAATCCGAGTAACGTGACAGTCAAAGTAACACTAACCGAACGTGAACCGGTCAAATGATTAGATTTAAAATTCTGCGTTTTCTTTCCGTTCATTTAATTTTATATCGATTCCTATATTGTCCGATTAATAAGTTTTTCAATGTTTACTTTACTGTTTGTTTCTTTCTCTACTAAAACGAATTTATCGTCTAACTTGTTTCCACTAGATTATCGAATCAACTGACGACCGAGACAAAGGGGTAACATATGCTAAGACTACAAACGTTAATTTTAATCGGTTTTCTATTTTTTAATGAGAAAGCAATAATATATTTAAAAATATGCGTATCTTTAATTCATAGATTATTAGTTGAATGTTAGTTGCAGAGTAACACTGCTTGGAGTTAAGCTATATAGGATTAACAATTTAGTAGTAATTCGTTTCTTGTAGTTTGTTTCTTTACTTTAAAGGAGGAGTCAATCTTTTTATTTGAGCTCTTTTATGTAAGTATCGGCTTATCGCATAAATAATAAGGTTCCTTTATGCGCCTTTTACTTTTCAAATTTAAGGTGAACGGAACTTTTTTAAATATGAAACATATTTTCCTTTGTTGCCTGTAGGTCATGATGGAAAATATGTTCCAGATAAAAAAAAGTTTTGTTTATCGCAATTTTTTAAAGCTTCGTTGATAACACGTTTATCACGTTGGTATTTCATCGGCAACAGTCAAGGTCCTTGTGTATATGTGTTTGTGAAATTATTCCTTCCCGCGATCACATTAACAGTATTACCAATAAATTATGAAACACTGAAAACCATGTTAAACGGCTTCTTCGTTTCATTTTTTTCAATGATTCCGTTACACTGAAAATAAACTGAAAAACGATGAAACTTTTAAAAATGCGTTGAATTTTCATTAATCAAACAAGTCATTGGAAATATTTTGTTTTTTTATACGAAAAAAGCTATGGAACATTTAAAAAATAAAGTACTGTTTTGAATTCTTGTTAAAGCTGTTATTAATCAAATAAATCGTTTGAATTATTAATTGCTCAGAAGCTGGTGTTACGATTTGGAACATCAATGTATACGATACAAACTCGAGTGGCCGGGACGGTTCAACCTGAAGAGTCATCGAATTTCTGTCACCACGTCCCCCGTTGTATTCGATTTGTTCGGCGATTCTCTTCGCGCACAGCACCAGCGTTCGCATTGTGCGAACAATAGGGACGTTCATCGATCGGTTCGCTTCTATTCCAACTTTCCAATTATACACGGTATAACGTCTCCGTTTGGTAAACTAGAAGATAATACGAGCAAGGAGAACGCTGTCGATTCTGTTTCCCCTGTATCGATGATTCCTGTTAAGTCTGAAGACTGAATATATTCGCCAGTATTTATTTCATTAACACTAGAACTACCGAGCATTTAATACGACTGATATGCAATCCTTATGAAAATGGTAACAATAGATTTTCCTCAGTTTCGTCAGACATTCATTATAGTATTCGAGCGAAACTATTTAGTTTCTACATCATTTAGGATACTTCATATTTTTAAGATATCGATAATTGCGAAATGAGAAAACTGAAACCAGTTGATAACCACAGATATTGGATATATTTCAATGTATTAAAGAAAAAAACGAAGAAAATTAACATAATGTAAGAACAAAGTGGAAAATTCGTTTATTTATCTTCTTTGATTCCATAAATATTCATTTCTCGCGATTAGAATGAGTTTTATTTAGGTGGTCTATATTAGGAGTCATTTTTCGGGTCGCTGTTTGTGACTTTATT